CTTTTGCTTCTTATATTTGGATTTTCTTTTATTTATTTATTTTTTCCAGCATATTATGAGGGTACAAATGTTAAGGTTACATATATTGCCCTTGCCCCTCCCCCCTAAAGTCTGAGCTTCAAGTGTGTCCATCCACCAGTTAGTGTGCATCACACTCATTATGTATGTATATACCCATCACATCCCCCCTCCACCTGCCTGACACCCAATAAATGTTATTCCTATATGTCCACTTAGGTGTTGATCCATTAATACCAATTTGCTGGTGAGTACATGTGGTGCTTATTTTTCCATTCTTGGGATACTTCACTTAATAGAATGGGTTCCAGCTCTATCCAGGAAAATACAAGAGGTGCTATATCACTGTTGTTTCTTAGAGCTAAATAGTACTCCACAGTATACATACACCACATTTTATTAATCCACTCATGTATTAATGGGCACTTGGGTTGTTTCCACAGATTTACAATTGTGAATTGTGCTGCTATAAACATTCAAGTGCAGGTGTCTTTTTCATAGAGTGACTTTTGTTCTTTTGGGTAGATGCCCAGTAATGGGATTGCTGGATCAAATGGTATCCACTTGTATTGCTTTAAGGTATCTCCATATTGCTTTCCACCGAGGTTGAATTAGTTTGCAGTCCCAGGATTTTCTTTTGATTAGATAGTGTCACATCTAGTTTATTCTCTGAGACAGGGGGTGGTGCTTGTGGGGGACACTCAACCATACCCTGCATGATCAAGTCAGTAAATGCTATAAAGGATGTGCAAATTGACCTCCCTGTTCAGTAGGTGGTGCCTGCCAGCAGGAACAAGCTGCAATGTTGTTTTTGGATCCTGTGACCAGCTTGATTGCCCCAGCTGGTGGGGGGGGGGCCCTGGAACTTCAGGTGAGTCCTTATTCTCTGCCACAGCAGAGGCAGGTAAGGCAGTGCGACTGGGTGGAGCTGGGTTGGGTGAGACCACCCTCCACAAAAGCTGGAAAGGTATCTGCTTCAGCGGGGGTCAAAGATCTGCTCCCAGCTTCTAGGGAAAGCTACCAGGGAGAGGCTGTAACAGTGTCACCCAATCACAAATCTCCCCTCCTTGCCCCCAAGCAATGTGATTGACACCTGAGGGTACAGGATCTGGCCTGTGGGCCTGTCACCAGGTCCCAAACATTCAATCCCTGACCATGTCAGGGAGAAGTACGCTGATCCCGAGTTGCCCACGGGGTGCCCAAGCAGGTTCTATGTCCTTCTGCCTTGGGGCGTGCCCCACACTGATGGAGTTGCTGGGCAAGCAGCACCTGGGCCAGCGGGCAGGGAGTTCAGAGTCCGAGCACCCCTCAGTCCGCTGCAGGACCCCCTAGAGGAAAAGTCTGAGCCCCATTCTCTGTGGAAGCCTCTGCATGGTGGCTCTATTGTCTCTCTTGGCAGCCAGCCGCAGGTTGGGGAGGGAAGAGAGTAAAAGAGTCAGTCTGGAAAGGTTTGAGCCCACTCTCTGTGGAAGGCCCAGTGTGGTGGATGCACTGACAAAGAGGAGAAGCAGCTCCTGCGAGCCCTGGCTCCATCGTCGCTCAGCAACCACACGTGGGCATGGGAAGGGGAGGAAAAGAGTCTGGGTGGAAGACAGCTAGCACTCTGGCTGTCTCTGTCCCTCCCTCCAGAAGGCAGCCCACCCACAATGTCCAGACTCTGGCGACACACAGACCCCCCGGGGCCCGCTGGTCCCCTCTGGCTCCCGCAGTCTGGGCCAGAGTAGGGAAATGTTTGTGTGGCAACAAGCGAGAGAAAACTGAGGGCTGTGGCCCCCTGGGGAGGACAAGGGTGCACGGTGGGTAGAGAAGCAACATGGTGCCTGCTATCTCGGATTGGGTCTGCAGTGACGGGAAGTGGCTCTGAGGGCACCGGCTGCCTGGTGCTTCATCCTCACGAAGCTCCCAGTTCACTGGCGGCAGCAGCTTTGGGGCTTGTGAGGGCAAAAGGGCCCTCCAGCAGCTCTGGAGCCCACTGCCTGCCAGACGTGTGGGGGAAGGAGAAGTAAGCCACTCCACCTGCCCTTTTCACTGCCCAGCTGCCCAGCCTCTCAGGGGTTGATCTTTGCCAAAATCCTGCTCCTTCGTGTTCCGCTCCTAATTCTGGGGGCTAGAAGTCCAAGATCAAGGTGCCAGCAGGGTTGGTTTCTTCTGACTCTCTCTCCAAGGCTTGTAGATCCCAAATTATTAATATTACGACCATCTGCTCTTCCAAGTATTTCATTAGCCCCCTGAAGCAAACCCAGGAGCCTCAGGAAGCAAGCCCAAGCCCAGCAGCACGCCATCAATCTTCCTGCCAAGTCCATGGCAAAAATAATTGCCCAGCCCCAGTCCAAGCCTCACTGGCTTCCCTTAATGGAGCCCACAGAGCAGCCTCTTTCTCAGCCTCCTCGCTTCCAGCCTGGCACCTCCAGCACGGCCTCTGCCAGCAACCCTGGGTCTTTCTGAGCTGTGCGTTTGATGGGGCCCCTCCTCTCCTGAACACCTGGACTGGCATCACTGCCTGCCTCTGGGACAAAGCTCCTGCTCTTGAGCTGGCTTAGGAGGCCCTTCAGACCTCCCTGGCCCCAACCCCTGCCTTGCACAGGCTGTTTCTCCACCTGGCATGCCCTTTCCCACCTTTCTCTAGGAAAATGCAGGCTAAATATCACCTCTGGCTGGGATTCCTGCTGGGATTGCCCAGGAAGGCAGGAGCTGCCAGCTCTGTGCCCTTTCAGAACTGTGTGTGTTCTTCTGTAATGGCCCCATTACATCCTTCTTTTAGTGTCTGGCTGTCCCACCAGACTGGGAGCTCCTGGAAGGTAGGGACCAGGTTGAACTGGTGCATCTCTGTCTTCTCCTCAAGCCTCGCTTAGGGCAGACGTTCAGGAAAAAAGGAAAGAAAGGGTCATGTCTCTCCCTCCCTGGCCCCTGTGTCCTTGTGTATCAAGTGTCTGTTGCATGCCTACTATGCACCAGGCTGGGCTGTCCTGCATTAGAGCCTCTGGGCCTCTTTGTCTGGCTCCAGTGGATCAGAGACCTGCTGCAAAAGCTGGAGGCCTCAGTGCTCCAGCCAGGGCCCTGGACTGGAAAACAACCCCTCTGCCAGTTTAGCAGAATCCCAGAAAGCCAGGTCACTGTGGAGGTCTCCACTGATCAACCCCTTCTCCTGGGCCTGGCCTTTCAGGCAGGTTCAAACTCGGTTCTGCCACTTCCTGGCTGGGTGATCTTGTCTCCTGCCCAACCTAGATGGAGGCTATTCTGAGTCAGGGTCACCTGTCCATGCCCACAGAGGTGACAGTGGAGGTGCAGCAGCCCAGTGGGGTGGCTGAACTGACCACAGCCTAAGGCAACCCTGGGAGATCTTGTTTCCCACTTATACTTTTCGGACACTCGCCATCCGTCATCCAGTGAACTTGGTCAGACACTCATTTGCTATCTGACTGTGGCCAAGTTACCTCACCTCCGGAATCCCAGCGGTCTCTGCTGGAAATGGAGATAGTATCCCTTGGCTGCCAGGTTGGTGTGAGGCATAGAGGAGGTGTGAGCGACGGCCACACTGGGCACTGTGAAGGAGGCAGCGTCACACTCCTTGCCCTTCAGGAATCCCCCTCTGCTGTGGCCTGATTCAGCCGCAGGCACCTCTGCAGACACGGGAGAAAGTGCACTGGCCAGGTGTTGGGAGGCTAAGCTCTGGCCTTGCTCCCCGAGCTGGGTCTCAGCCTCTTGCTGCCATTCTTACCTCTGGGTCTGTGGCAGGTGACAGACACTGATGGGGACTCAGCAGCTGCCTCCTGTCAGGGAGGGGACTTCCCAGGGTGCCTCGGCAGCCATGGGGTATGCCAAGGAGATGTGGAGGCTGCAGTGTCTCAGGCCTCAGCCCAGAAACTAATAACCATTATTGGCGTGTGGGGTGGGAGGGAGGAGTGTGCAGCTCTGAAACCACTGAGACTGATTTATTGGTTAATTAGTGGGTTTTTCCAGGCACAGACTTCCCCAGCTGTGCACAGGCATAGGGAGGGAGGGGGCCAGTGGGAGACCAACTGGAAGCCAAGTGTGTCTCAGTGACTATCCTGAGCCAGGGCACTAAACAGACTGAAGGAACAATGCAAGGGGTTTGGACCAGGGAATGGGCCAAGGACTTTATAGCCAGGGGAAGCCCGTCAGGCCCTGCTGCCTGAGTACTGGAACAGAAGTCTCTTAAGGAAGGGACTAGGAACTCTGAGGTTTCCAGGGCATCCAGTCATGTGTGGGGAGCTGCAGTTTTGGTAAAGACAATCAGGAAGAACCAGAAAAAGTGTGGAAACCATGGAAATGAAGAGAAGATGCCCCAGAGGTAGAAAAGGAAGACCACTGAGTAGAACAACTTAGCTTCTAAAATACAATGGGTTAGGAAATTAAAAACAAAAAGGAAAAAGTTAGACAACCATGGGTTTGAATCCAACCTCTGCCAAACACTAGCTGTGACCCTGGACAAATCACTAAACCTCTCTGATCTTTGATTTCTACATTTGTAACATGGGGCTAAGCATATCTACTTTTCAAAGCTGTTTCGATAATTAAAGAACATAGCGCCTGTGAAACATACACTTAATAAATGTGCTCAATAAATATTTGCTATATTAGTTGCTAGTGTTAAATTACCTAGGACAGGGCTCGGAACCAAGAAGGGGCTTGGTAACGGGTGGTGGAGAAAGCAGGGCCTAGAAGGTGCTGACCCAGTCGGAGGGATGTGCAGAGGGACTACCCTCCTGCCAGACTGGCCATGGACAGAGTCTGGGGGCTGCCCTGCTGAGGGGCTGCGCGGCACCATTTTCACTGCCCAGGGTGCCAGACACCGTTGCACTGGGGAGCTTGGACAAGTCGCTCCACTCTGAGGGCTCCTGGCCTTGGCCCATCCCCTAGCCCAGTGGCGGCCTGCCTTCGGGGAAGGGGACAGACAGACAGACGGACACCGGCAGAGTCCAGGAGAGCAAGGTTTATTGCGGTCCTCAGGCAGGCAGGGCTCACCCAGCCTCTCCGCTGTGGGCGGGCCCCTCCCTGGGCTCACCGCCCCAGCCGCCGCGGGCCGGCAGCCTCCCGCGAGGCCGGGCGTCCCCGAGGGTGCAGCCGCCTGGGCCCGAGGACGCGGGGTGGACGCGCCTGAGGGCGCGACGGGCGCCCGGCGGGCAGCGGGTGCGGTGGCGGCGGCGGCGGCCGCAGGGCCACAGGCGGCGAAAGCGCGCGCGGAAGTGGCGCGAGGCGAGCGCGTAGACGAGCGGGTTGAGGCAGGAGTTGGCGTAGGCCAGGCAGTGCGAGGCGAGGCGGCAGGCGTAGGTGGCCGGGCTGAAGGCGAAGCGGCCGTACCAGAAGCAGAGGATGAGCGCGTGGTGCGGGCCCCAGCAGAGGGCGTAGAGCGCGGCCACCGCCAGCATGGCGCGCCCCGCGCGGCCCGTGGCCCGTCGCCGCGCCTCGGCCGCCGCCGCGCCCGCGGGGCCCACGGCGGCCCACAGGAAGCGCAGCGTGCGCCCGTAGGCCAGGCTCACCACGGCCACGGGCAGCAGGTAGCCGGCGGCGAAGGTGGCCACGTCGAGGGCGCGGCGGCGCGCGTCCTCCCAGGCGGGCACGCAGAGCTCGAGCGCGCCGTAGCGCACCGTGCCGTAGTAGCTGAGGTAGGGCGCCGAGAACAGCGCCGCCAGCAGCCACACTAGGCCCACGGCGGCGCGGGCGTTACGCGGCGTGCGCAGGGCCCGCGAGCGCAGCGGGTGCCGCACGGCCAGGTACCTGCGGGTGGGGCGCCGAGTCAGCGCGGCGGGCGGGCGCCCTCCCGCAGGGACCCCCTTCGGCGCCCAGAGCTGGGGACTGGTGGACCTGTGGCCCCAGGGGGCCCTGGTTCCCTCCTCTGAACAATGGGGGCTGTTGTGAGTATTAAGCGTGTGAACACTTAAGCAAAGGGCTTAGATCAGTGCCTGCCACCCAGCTAGGGATGAATCGCTGTTAGGTGTTATTTATGGAATTATTATACATACCAGTCAAATGAAGCCTAGAGAGAAGTGACTTGCCCAAGGTCATCAGCTAGGGAGTGAGCTTGGAACTGGCCCCAAGTTTCATGCCATGGAGGAAGGCGTGAGCATAACCTGGGCCAGGCGTGGGCAATTATATAATAACTGATGAATGCATTTGTGTGTTTCTTTAGCTATTCATTTCACACTTACAGAGCACCTACCAGGCCTGTGCTGACACTTGAGACACAGAGATGTCCTCTGGAAACTCAGTGCAGGTGGGGGGAGAGCAGGCATGCCCTGCAGGTGCCCAGAGGCTACTTGCAGGGGGCCAGAGAGCTTTCCTTCCTTCCCTCCCTCCCACTTCCCTTTTTGGTCCCCCATTCTCTCCTTCCTAAGGCCAATGACAATCTTTTCAGGTCTTCCCTCCCCAGCCAGGCCCTAGACACAGCGCACCTGTCCACTGAGACGGCAGCCAGCGTGAAACTGCTGGCGTACATGGTGAGGTAGATGAGCAGGTGCACAGCCTTACAGACAAGGGCCCCAAAGAGCCAGGCGTCCAGGGTGTAGATGGCAGCCTGGAAGGGCACGCAGCACAGGATGAAGCAGAGGTCGGCCACAGCCAGGTTGAGGATGAACAGATCCGTGGTGCTGCCTGGCTCCTGCCAGGCACTGGGGCCGGGCTGCAGCAGCACAGCCAGCACCAGCCCATTGCCCACTGTGCCCAGCAGGAAGATTAGGGCAAAGACCACAGGCACTGCCACAGCCCCCACACTCCCCGGGTTGTCCAGCGAAATGTTCTGGGCATCAGCCATCTCCCCATCAGACAGGCACCTGGGGAAGAAAAGCTGGAGTCCTCAGGCAGGGGCCCCCAGCTCTGGCCACTTGACCCAGGGGTCTAGCTCCACCAGCCTGAGTCTGGCCAGGTGTCCTGGGCTGGAAGCTCATGGGGGATGGGGGAGGGGAAAGCAGAGCCAAAAGTCATCACTGAGACCCACTGTGTGAACAAGCCCCTAGCACAGTCACGCTGGTGTTGGGGGGCGTTCCTCAGTTTCCTAGGGAACATACCTCTCATCCAGGGCATGGAGGGGTGCTTAGGCAGTTAGTGGACACCTCACCTTCAACCATGAGGCAGGTGAAGACACAGGCAGAGCAGGGTGAAGACATGGCAGGTGGGGGGGAGGGGCAGCTCCAACCCCAGGAGCTAGTATATTTTCCTTACTTTTCAATGGGAATCTGAAGCTCAGCACGTAGCTCAGCACTTGGACATGGGTTCAGGACTTTCTCTAGCTACAAGTTGTAGCTTTAGCAAAACATGGGTGGCATCCCAGGTCATTGGAATGTCCAGTCTAGTGAGATGACCAAATGGCAAAGCTGGGAAGACCATATAGATCACTGAACCCTTTTTGCACATGGGGAAATTGGGGCCCAGAGAGGGTACATGGGGGGGTAATAATCATACTTTGAATGGCAGATCTGGGCTGTTGCCACTCTGGTATCCTGACTTCTAGCCTAGAGTACTCATCTGAACGGCTGTAACAGGTGGTGCCTCTGAGCCTACATGTGTGTGCGTATGTGTGCATTTGTGCACACCGTGGCCATTCTTACCCCTGGCCCACCCCACAACCCACATCGCCTACTACCTGTGGATCCTCTGGCATGCCTGGGATTGCTGCCGTGATATGACAAATTGGGGTGGGGGGAGACAGAGAGGAAGGAAGAAAAACAATATCTGCCCCCACCCCAGCACCCGGCATGCAGCAGGCCCCCAAAGCTCAGGATGGGCAACACCCACCTCAACCCTGGGCACTGGACTCTGCTTGATCCTGGATGGAACGGCCAGGCTGGGGCTGCCTCCCGGCTCAGCTGCTGCCCTTTGGTGCCTCCGTGCAGGTACAGGGCTGCTTCCTACTTCTCCCTCTTCGCCTTTAAGGCACTTCGTCTCCTCTGGCCCCCTCTGCTGAGCGGGAGTTGGGCACTCCCTCTGGAGTAGCCACTGAGCACCTCCTCATCAGTTCCTGATTTCCTCGGGTGGCATGCTCTTCTGCCTGTCTCTTCTCTGCCTTCTGCGTTGCTGCTGCCTCTTTCTCTCTTTCTGCAGTGAGTAACCCATTGATCTCACTCTCTGAGATCGCTTTGTAGTTAACCCCTCTGTGGCCAGGGCCCAGCCCACTCCGGGCACTCCCACCTGCTGTGGCACTGTCTGGTGACTCCACCCCATATCCTTTCCCTTGAGACTCTGAGCAGGGCTCCAACCCACGTTTAAAAAGGATTCCTAGTCTTGAATGGGGTTTCTTAGGCTGGGAAACCAGGACATGAGTCCCCCTTCTACAGAACCCCTCCCCTCAGGCCTTGCAAGTCCTCAGATACCCATGTCCTTCCCTAAGCTCTTTCCAGGGGCTGAGTCCAGCTGGTGACCAGATGGTTTATGTACCTGCCCAAAGAGTCTAGCTTCAGCCTGAGGGCAGCAGGGAGCTAGTGAAGGTTCTAGAGCAGGGAGGTGACCTGTACAAGTTTATTATGTCCTGGAGTGAAAAGGATGGATAGAAGGGGAGAGATTTGGTGAGTGACCTGCTAGGAGCCTCTTGTCCAGGCAAAGAGGCTAATAAGTCCTAGTGAATGGCTGTGCGATTCAGTCATGGAGTTCAGGCAGAACCCACATGGCCAGATGCTTCCAGAGGGTTAAGGAGGCTAGCACCTGGGGAGTGAGGTGCACTGGATTTAGCATCATGGAGACTGTTAGAAAACTGAACAAGTGTAGGGAGGGCAAAAGGCAGTCTGCAATGAGTTAAGGAAGGGAGAAAAGAGGTGTCAGGGAATCAGTGTCTGTCTTTTTAGAAGCTGGGGGTGAGGAAGCATCTCAAAGGGGAGCCTGTGAAGGGAAAGAGAAAATAGGGTGGGGGCACAGTTGGAGCCAGGACTTGCATTCAAGGCCTGAGAAGCTGGGCAAGAGGCTTTAGAATGAGCTCCTTGAAGGTCCCTGGGATTGTCACCCAGCCCGATGTCAACCACCCCAGATTCAGAGAATCCTCAAATTTTTAGAAGCAGAGACTCACGGAATTGAAACTCTTAGGAATCTGATCTGGACTCTTCAATCCTAAATTCAGATCCAACAGAGTTGAATTGAGGAATCAGAATTATAAAATCCGATGATCACTGAACAGCAGAATTGTAAGATTCTAGACTCAGTGTGGTGGGATTTGAGAGCTATTGACGGAGATCCACAACCACCTTGCCTGAAAGTAATGCACCGTTAGACTCCCAGAAGCCTGTACAAATGTGCATGCCTGAACCGTGGAACTGGCTGGAAAGCCCCTGAGAGATCAATGACACTTTGTCTTTCTGCCCCTTGTAAGCACCCTGCGCCTGCAAGGCCCCTCCTCGCCCAGGCTTGGGCAGTACTAGGGCAAAGAGCTCCCAGCAGCAGCAAGCCCAGCTCATAGGAGAGCAGAAGTGGAGTGAAGGAAGGAGGGAAGATGGAGGTGATCAGAGAGAGCATGGCCATGGGGCAGGCTGGACGGGCGCGCCATCATGGCTCAAGCCTCAGCGTGCCACCCTCTTCCCTCCTCCTACTGCTGCTCCAGGCGGCCGCAGCCTTGAACACGGTGCCTGACTCAAGAGGACGTGGACGGCGCGCCCTAGGACTGAGTCCCAGAGCCCCTGGCTCCGCAGGACAGACTTGTGGCTAATCCGTGCCGGCCCTTGGACCAAGCACAGCTCTATAGCTGGTCGCAGGCGTCGGGTGACTAGAGGACGCACCCAAGCTGAAACACGTGCGCCCCGAGCGGCTGCTGCGCGTGCTGGCCCTGGAGGTCGCGGGGCGGCAGCTGGTGCTGCCGCAGGATACAGGGCGAGTTCTTCCCCGCTGGTTGGTGGGGCCTCACCTTGTGCCACCTCATGTCGGCGTGGCCCTGCTGGGTTCGCCACACCGACCGGGACACGTCGACCCGTGGCTGCTCTTCCGGCATAACCTGCCGCCTGCGCTGACCACACATGAAGCCGAAGGCCGCACTGCTGGTTGAGTCGGGGGCTGCCTCCAGGTGTGCAAATGTTCCTACTGCTGATGTGGCCACCCCTCCCCCCCAGGCTCTGGGACCCAGGCCCAAGCTCCTCCGGGTCGCAAGCTAGGATTCCTACAATCCCAGCTTTGAGGTCCCGCAGGACTGAGCTGGAGCCGCCCAGACCGTCTGTCCCAAGATGTCAGGGCAAAGGGGCGGCCAGCAGGAGGAGCAGGACACAGAGACGTAGGTCTGGTTTCCTGTCCTTAATGATAGAGGGCTTTTCACCTTCTGCCCCAAGCAAACAACGGGCTTCCCAAGGCTACACCACGCCCGAGGTTGGAACTGCGATGACTCAGAACCCACTCCCCAGCCCCATCCGCACCGGTACCCAGAGCGCTGAGCAAGGAGACACCCCCGCCCCCTCAGCCACACACACGCAGTGCCTGTAGGACCAGGGGAGAGGCCAGCTGTAGTGAGAAGAAAGGGAAAATGGGGCCTTGGCAGCAGCAAATTATCCTCCTGGCCCCGCCAGCTGGCCGCCCAGACAGCCGCTGTCCAAGGCCCCGGGGAGGGTGGGGACCGGGCAGGGGCGGGGCGAGCCAGCGGCGGCGGCCGGGATCTGAGCTCGCCGCGCCCCCTGGCGGCTGACCACCAGGCCATAGCCTTGGAATGAGCGAGATGGAAGGGTCCTAGATCTCATCCTGGGAGTGGGTGGGGTGTGGGGGCTGAAGCAACACAGGCTTGGGGCTTCCCCAGTGCCAGAGTCAGGCAGCAAAGTGGGCTAGAACACAGGGTTCGACTGTCAGGGTCTTCCCCACTCATGATCCACATTCTTTTCTTTGGGGCCTGAATCCTCTGCCTCTCCTCCCAAACATGGGTTTGGGCACCCAGCTCCAGCTAGCTGTCTCCACCTGGGCAGCTATGGGGGATCGGAGGCGGTGGTTCACCAAGGCTAGACGTGGGGGCTGCAGAGTAGCAGGTGGGTGGCAGGGGAAAGGGCCTGTAGGCTGGTTCTTAGCTGGTCTTCACAGCAACACGGACTCCAGCTGAGCCAAACAGTGGCCCCTGCCAACTCCCAGATGCCTGGGTCCCATTTAATTTGGGGGAGGAGGTCAGCTCTGGGAGACCCAGTCCTCAGGAGTCTGCCCCAAGAGCCTGAGTGTCTGCCTGATTCTTCAACAGGGCTGGGCCTCCTCGGAGAGAATAAAACAGACCAAAGCATGACGGCCAGTTTTCATGCTTGTTCCTTGTACTCACAGCCATGCACACAGGCCTCGTCCCCACCTGGCCCTAGGACTCTGGTTCAGGGCTTAGAGCTTCTGGTCTGGACTGGTCAAAGACCTCTTTTGTCTCTGTGATGGCAGGTGGCCCTTGGCGCTGCTTGTCCCTAGCCACAGCTCAGGGCAGTGCCCCGTGCAGCCGCCCCACTTCCACGAAGGCTTCCACGCAGCGGTCGATGTCTTCTTCACTGTGTACTGCTGAGATCTGTACCCGGATCCGAGCCTTGCCCTTGGGGACCACTGGGTAGCTAAACCCGATGACAAAGATGCCTGGAGGGTAGAGAGCAAGGGCGTGCCAGAGCCAGACAGACTTTGGGGACATGACACACAGCTCCTACTTTCCTGAGGTGCACAGAGGGCAAGGGAGCTGCCTACGGTCTCAGACTTGGACCTAACTCATGGCCTGGGGTTTTCGAGGTTGGGCAGCATGTTTAAGAGAGGTACAGGGTGGGAGAAAGGGGGAGTATTCACAGTCAAGGGGACTCCCTCTCTTTTCTTCTTAGGACACCGTCCTCCCCCCCGTTCTCTCATCCACATGCCCTTACCTCTCTTTAGCATGTCATCCGCCATGCAAGAGGCCAGCCGGGCATCACCCAGCATCACAGGGCAGATGGGGTGATTGGCTCCCGAGATGGTGAAGCCAGCAGCCTGCATCTTACTGCGGAATCTGTGGGCACAAGCCGAGTGTCACAGGTCACTAGGGGGCCACAGAGCATTCACACCAGCTCCTGATGGGCCCAAGGCCTAAGATCTGTGTTCAAGTCTGCAAAAGGAACCAACAGAGAGTTATAGATCCCAAGAGGCAGATGGGGCCAGGCAGAAGAAAAAAGGAGGCAGGACGATAGTATTGACAAGAGGGAGACACTGGAGCACGAAGGAAGAGTCAGAGACAGAGAGAAGAGCAAAGTGGGTAAGTAGAGGCAGACCCTGTGGGCATGGAGCTGTCTATGGGCCTGGGTAGGCACACAGGGCAGCTCTGACATTGTCCCCCACCCGGGCCTGCCCCAACCCAGTTAGGACCCGCACCGCTGGGTCTTGGCAGCCATAGACTGGACGATGGCATTGCTCTCCATGAGCAGGTCCAGGGCCTTGGAAGCACAGCCAACAACAGCAGGTGGCAGACTGTTGGAGAAGAGGTAGGGCCGGGCACGCTGTCGTAGCAGGGACACCAGGGGTCCAGGCCCTGTTGTGTAGCCCCCTGAGAACAAGGGGAAAGGTGGTGGTGGGAGGAGGGGTCAGTCAGGCGTCGGTCAGGGTTCAGGAGCCAGTGCCTCGCCCAAGGCCCACCTGAGTATGGTCCATGTTGCCCTCTTTGCAGCCCCACACCTGCCCTCCCCATGACACCTCCAGCGCCTTGCATGTAGGTAAGGGGACCCCAGGGACATGACCCAGCAGGCACCTGCTGCTCCACCCAGTGCTTTCCCCAGGGTAGAGTTGATGATGGTGACCTGGTCCATCACACCCAGAAGCTCATCCGTGCCCCTGCAAAGAAAGCCATCACTACTGCCACTGACTCCCTGAGTGCCCAGGGGTCATAGGTCAGGCTGGGGGCTGGCCTATCAGTTTCTCATCCACCCTCAGAAGCCCCACCCCAGGCTTTAGGTGCCAAGTGCTCCCACCGTCCTGTGGGCCCCAGGAAGCCTGTGGCATGGCATTCATCCACAAAGACCAGGGCACCATATTGAGAGGCGAGGTGGCAGATCTCTTGCAGGGGTGCGATGTCACCATCCATGGAAAACGCTCCATCGGTCGCCACCAGGCGCAGCCGATGCTTCTACAGAGTAGACATGAGCGGGTAGTGGGCAGTGTCATGAGTTGAGTTGGGTCAAACTACCTGTCCATTGTGCTACCTGGGGCTCTGAGAGCTCACCTTTCCCCATGACCAGCACAGAGGTGGGCTCATAGCCACTGTTATCTGGGGTGTCCTCTCTCACTTGTGCCTTTCTCAGGCTCACCATCCCCACACTCAGCCCGGGCAGTGAGGGTGGTCTCAGGTCTCACTCTGCTGGGTAAGGTTCCATCCCCAGGCCCACCCCAGTTTATGCCTAGCAGGGCCCTGCCCCACAGCAGGTGCTGGCTTAAAGTCAAGGCAGCATGGTGTAATGTAATACAGCTTTGGGTCTGAGTGATCTGGGTTCAAATCTTAGCTGTTTCAAACTTTCAGGCTTTTGATCTGTGAGTGTGGAGGAAATGTCTCCAAGCTTTTTTTCTTTGCCAGCGGGAGGCCGACGGTAAGCCCAGGGCTTGCCCTGGGACCCGCGGGCCTTGGCTCACCTGAGCCTCCTGAAGCTTGGCTTCTAGGTCAGCCATGTCCAGGTGGCGATAGCGGTACTTGTGGGCCTTGCACAGACGGATGCCGTCGATGATGGAGGCATGGTTCAGCTCGTCTGACAGGACTGCGTCCTCAGGGGTCAGCAGGGCCTAGAGGGGGGAGTTAGAGTGAAGCCATCACCCACCCACTTTGGGGTTCACCTTCCCCTGTGACTCTCCCTAAGTCAAAATTTTAGTGCCATCCAGGGCATTCCTCTGCCTTGATTTGGGTCTCCAGTGCCCCAGTACTGAGCTGGACCAGGGCCCTGCTCTTACCTCACTAGAGCGGGTAAGAACATGTTTGGTGAGTGCCAGGCACCTGCCACTCCCAGCCCTCCGGCTGATGTAGGTTGCTCACACAATGCTCTGGAAGCTGGGCTTCTTGCAAGCCCCAGGATTCCTCCTGGACCACCCAACCTTGACCTCCATAAGAAATGGGCTCTGGAGCCCCTAGGCACGGCAGCGGCATCCTGCCAGGTTCTCCTGACTGCCCACCCTCGAACCTTGCGCAGCCTAGCCAGCCCCACTAACTCCTGCCCACAGCCCCACTATACCTCAAAGAGGCCGGCGTTGGCATCAAAACAGCTGGCATAGAGGATGGCGTCCTCCCGCTGGTGGAAGCGGGCTAACTTTGCTTCTAGATTCTTGTGGATGCTCTGATGAAGTGAGTGAGACAGGTGTTAATGCCTGTGGGGCCACCAGGGACAAGTCCTAGAGGACAGAGGCTTAGAGGGCCACAAACAGACCCAATCCAGAAGGCCTGCAGCCTCAGCCTCTCCCATCTTTCTGTACCAGACAGGTTGCCCCAGAGCCGACTGGAGTCTGGCAGATAGTGCCCACTGAGGAGGTAGGGACTTGCTCCGTCTCCCTTCCCAGGCGGATCTTCATTTTGTAATGGGCATCTAATGATGGAATTATGGGTACTGATGGGGAAGGAAGATGTATCTTCCTAATATCAAACTTAGCGCCTTTTTTAGTTGCCTAAGGGTGAAGAAAAGGATTACATAAGTAACTCTGGGCACATCTGGGCTTCTATTTCTAAGATTGAAAGTTGTTTGGTCTAGGTGATGGTTTTGTTGGAAAGTGCCTGGATGGGAGTCAGGAGTTCTGCTTCTGATATTCATCTCACCTGCATCTTTCTGAGAGGACAGGTAATAACAATCACAAGTAGTCAGGAGCAGGGACTATTGAGCCAAGCTACTATGTTCAAATCCCACTATGACAAACTGTGTACCTCTGGGCAAGTCCCTTAACCTCTCGGGGCCTCAGTGGCCTCATCTCAACAACAGGAATAAGAATAGCACCTATCACTTAGGATTTTTATAAGGATTAATGAGTTAACACTTAACAATGTGGTTAAAAAGAGTACCTGGCACATAGTAAACACTATATAAGTTTCATGTTTATATAAGTTTATTTTATAACATTTGCAAAATAATAGTAAATATTTATTGAGTGCTACTATGTACCAGGTAGTGTTCTAAGCATTTCTTACATGTATTAACTCTTTAATTTATAATGATCCTATTAAGTACTATCATCCGCATTTTACCAGTGAAGGAATTGAGTCAAAGAGAGGTTAGGACTCTTGCCCATGCCAACAGACTCAATAATTAAGACAGCACTGGAAACTAAGCCTGGCAGAACAGCTCCAGGACTCTCCATTCAATCCTTGTCCTCTACTTTTCTTTCCCTGTAGAGGGACAGGTGTGAGGAATCTGTCCTGCAGGTGGGAAAAAGGTAGTTTCTTGCCCCAGGCTTCTCAGCAAAACAGAGGCCTTTCCCCAGCTTTTCTGTTGGACAGCTCTGGGCTACCAGTGGGCCTAGAGCCTTGGGATGAGCTGAGCTGGCTAAACCAGCCCTGCTGACATCAGAAGCAGGCAGCTGGGGTCAGTTTCCCCGCCCCCCGATGCCCACTGTATACCTGGGTCCCACAGATGAAGCGGACAGAGCTAAGGCCAGCTCCAAACTCCTCCAGAGCCTGCAGACCTGCCTGGATCACCTCAGGGTGGCTGCTCAAGCCCAGGTAGTTGTTGGCACAGAAGTTAAGGATTCCTGAACGGGAAATGGTTCAGAGAGGAAATGAACCTAGATTCACCCTTAAGAAGGCAACATCCACACAGTATGATCCATTCTGAGGCAAAGGCCAGGATGGGGAGCCGAGAGTCCCCAGGAGGCAATGAATCCAACAGCTACCTGAGAGGGAGTATCAGCGCTGCACCTTGAAGGATGGTAAGTTTAAACTTGGCCTTTAAATCACTTTCTACCCAATGGGGAATGCAGCCTTTCCTCACAGGCTTCTCCTGTTCCTGAAGACCACCATGGCCCCTCATGTGGGCCTTGGTTTCCTTGTGGGTAAAGAGGGCTGGATCAGATGCCCACTGCAGTCTTTGAACTACACAGTTTATAATACTTTGCCATCTGGTACAGAATTGCATCTCCAAAGTGGGGTGCCTCTGAGACCCTAGTCTCAGAATTTTAAAACCCAAAGTGAACACAGCTGACTAAGGAGGAGGAGAAGGTTCACACTTCTTGACAAAGGCAAAAACAGGATGATAACTTAAGTGTTCTAATTTCCCATCTTTTGGCCTGTTCCAAGCTTCCCCTGGGGGAGAGGGATTCCATGGGACCTCCACTTTACAAATGAGTACAACAGCACAGAAGATTCCAGCCTCCTTCCTGGAGAGAAGGCAGGCTCAGGAGCCTGTTGATAACCAGCACTCAGCTACGGCTCAACACAAGTAAGAGGGGCAGGGACTGCTGGTTAGAATGAGAGCAGGGAGACCTGGCAGGGCCATGTGATTTCTATGGCAGCCCTGGGGCCCCTTGCTCACTGTGACTTTGGTCAGGAAGTTGGCCTCTCTGGTGAGTTAGGCTATGTTGCAGCTTTAATATCCCAGCTCTGCCTGCAGCTAGCTGGGGGATTTGGGGCAAGCCACTTTACAACTGGATTTCACTTTACAATCTGGATTTCAACTTCTCTGTCTGTAAAATGGAATTAGTCATTCCTGCGTTTAGACGTTAGCAGGAGTCCAGGAGTCCACGTGCAGCAATTAGGAGAGGCCTGCACAAAGCAGCCGCTCAAGTAACGTGGGGTTTCTTCTGTCGCCTTCCAACCACCCTCCCTTGAAGCTGCACAGTAGGAGCCAGCTGGGTGTCTCTCTCTTTTTCTCACGTTCTCCTGGGGCTGGGTCTAGGTCCAGCCATGCCTCTGAACCAAAAAGGTGCTCAAGGACACATCACCCCCTCCGTCGAAACGGGTTTAACTAGCTTACACTTAACACTGGGAAGCCATAAAGCCTGCCAGAGAGATGGCAAAGGGGACCAGTAGTTGTGCGCAGGTGTCACCCACCCACCACCCCAGGTCTCCAGGACCTGCATTCGAGCGCATGCCCAGGAAGGGCCCTGGAACACCCGGCCAGGTCCAACGACTCCCGGGAGGGGGAGTTACCTCCGGAGACACCGTCCACGTGGATGCGCGGCCCCTGACGGGATGTGATGACCCGCTCACTCTTCCAGGTGCCCGCCCCGTGGATCCCTTCCAGCTCCGCCTCCAGGATGCCTCGCAGCTGGGCCAGCGCTGACTGCGCGCGGCGGCCGCGGGGGCCTCCGGAGAGCGCAGCACGCCAGACGCCACCAGCCCACATTGCGCCCTGCTCGCCCAGCGCGCCTGCCCGCGGGAGTGCCCGGCGCGTCGCGGCCGGGTCATGTGGCCGGGGGCCGGGCCCCGGCAGCCAATCGGAGCGAGAGGCGGGCCCGGCACGGGTGGGCGGGGCCCGGCGGGATCCGGCAAGGACGAGGTGGATTGACTTGTAAGTTGAGACTGGCGAGGTCCGGCGGCGAAGGAAGTCGCGTCAGGGCCCAGCCCACCGGACTCTCCAGCGCATTTCCACACACCCACCTCTCAGAAGGAAACGGGGTGCTTTCTGGACCCCGCAGGCAGGAGTGTAGAAGCAGGCTGAGGAACGTTCTGCTCCTTCCAGCCCGAAGATCCCCCGTTTCTGTCCAGCTCTTGGAGCCCTCCCCCACTCTCAGGTGGAAAGGCCCCAGGGTCCCCAGTGCCCGCCCACGTGACCGCTCCGCATTCTGCTGCGGTCTTAAAAGTAAGGAAAAAATACACCAGTCAGGTTTTTTTCCTTTTCCAATTTTATTTTTTTAAAATTACAAAGACAGCAAATTTTTCCCGGCACAAATAACACTTGTTTTAAAAAAAGAAAAAGGGGGTGGGGACGCGCAAGTGCGCGATTTTCATATGTAATTAAAATTAAGAGAAAGACAACTGTACAGGTTTTTTCTCCCAGCTCCCGGGTGTGAAACGTAAGTACTAACCCTAGATATGTGTGTATATGTGTGTGTGTGTATATATACACATGCACACAGATCTAGCTCTGTAAAGCTACTTAGCAAATTCAAAATTGACTGCAGTATGTCTTACTGTCCACTCCCCGCCCACTCCCCTCCCCAACTACAACTACTTATAAAAGACACTCATAAGTAAAAAGGGGTCAGGAGGTTAAGTGGCTGTTGGTGGGACTGGAGCCTCACCAGACCAAGCAAAGCCACCGCTTGTACAGGAGAAGCAAAAAACCAAAGGAAAATAAAGTCTTCCTGGGACGCAATCCACCAAGTGCGTGGAAAAACCCAAGTTTCAACAGGGCACACTGAGGCACTTGGCTGACACTCCCCACCCTTCCCCCAAAGTTTCCACTCCCGGTTAATAAGAGACTTGACTGAAGCCATAAAGAGTCCCCCAAAGGCTAAGTCCTAGCTGACTGGGCGAAGCTACAGCTTCTCCAACCAGCTGTCACTTTGCCTCCCCCGCCCCCAACCCCTTCCCCAAGACAACAGAGAGGCCACAAGGGCAGACTAACAGGTGAGAAGGAAACTGGGTTTGGACCCCCTGTGCTCACCAGTGGGAGATGGAAGTCAGCCCCAAGACGTTTTTTCCACCTCCTTCCTTTGCCGGCTAGCTGCTGCCACCTCTCTCCTCTCCGCCAAAGGTTCTGAAACCCACAAGGGATGCCCAACTTGAAGCTTGCTGGCCTTAAAGATACTCCTACTAACTTCACAATTCCTGGGCTCACTCTCATCTCGCCAGAACAAACTGCTTTGCTTGTTCTCTCCTCCCCCATCTTCGTAGAAAACAAACCATCTAACGAAACACACAAACCCACCAAAATCCCTAGCCCGTAAGTAGATTAATAACAAAACAAAATATAAGTACATTCTCATCATTACAGAGGTGAGATTGTTGCTGTCCTTGCACAACTGGTTAAGGAAAAACGAATTATTCTGTAATTTCTGAGGAATCCAAATTCTGTCTCTTTTTAAGTCAGAATAAAAGGGGGCAAAGGGATGCAGATGAGAATCAAGAGAGAAAAAGGAAAAAAGTATTTACAGAAAATAGGAAGGAGTGTCCACAAGAAAAGGCTTCATTGTCACTTCTTGCCTGCCCTCTTGGCACTGGATTTTGCTTTGGGCTTCACCGATTTGGCCTTCTTGGGCTTGGATACCTTGACTGGCTTGGCTTTGACAGTCTTGGGTTTTTTGGTTTTCCTGGGCGTGGCAGCCGGCTTCTTCTTGGCCTTCTTGACTGGGGTGGGTTTGGGTTTCTTGCTTGGGGCTTTGGAGGCTGCAGCCTTCTTGGGCTTGGCTGCCTTCTTTGGAGTGGCCACCTTCTTGACTTCCTTCTTGGTTTTCTTGATGGCCACTGACTTCTTGGGCTCATCGCTCTTGGCCAGCCGAAAGGACCCCGAGGCACCTACCCCTTTGGTCTGCTTGAGGACACCAGTGGTGACCAGACGCTTGATGGACAACTTGATCTGCGAGTCGGCGTTCTCACCCACCTTGTAGTGGCTCTTGATATACTTCTGGATGGACTGGCGGGAGGACCCAGCACGGTTCTTCTCCGCCTGGATGGCAGCCACGATCATGTCTGAATATTTGGGGTGGTCTGTGGACTTCTTGGAGGCCTTGGCCCTTTTAGGCTTGGCCGCAGGAGTGGACGTGGAGTTCTCGGTCATGGTAGTCTGCCGGGTCTGGTTGTTGAAAACGCTTTCCAAAGGGCCAGCCCTCGTCGGAGGCTGAGCGAAGCCTGCCTGAGGACCTGCTCTTGGGCCCCTGACTACCGAGCCAGTCCGGAGTCCGACTCCCGGGATGCGGGCGAGGAGGAATCGCTGTTTCTCCTCCCCGGCTCGGGTGGCGGGAGGGCTTGCTGGACCGGCTCTGCGTGACCCAACCCCGCCGGTATGTCGTTCGGTCTCAGCGCCTGGCTCTGCCTTTGCCTCCGCTTCTGCTTCTGCCTCCGCCTCCTCTGCCTCCTTTTTCCCAGCTCCGCGTCTGGCGCTCGGGCGGCGCATCCGGGTATTTAGCGGCGGCGGGCGGACCGCGGTGAGGACAGGGCTGCTGGCTGCCTGCTCCCGGCCCAGAATGGCGCCGCGCCGCCGCCATCTGTGTTTCTTCCGCCTAGCAAATCCGACCTTTCCCCCCGATCCCAGCCTTCTTGCTCCCTGCCGCCGCCCGGGGCCGCTACCTGGTTCCCTGGGCTTCCTTGCTGGGCGGCCCGCCGACCCGGCAGCCGCTCCCCGCGCCCGCCACGCGCCCCAAACGGCGCCGAGGACCGCTGGTGTGCTGGCACATTTCCCCTTTGCGGGGGTCTGGCTCTGCGGGGCTGGGGAGCCCCGCTGAGGGAAACCCCCCGTAGCAAAGCTCTCTCCTGGGGCTATCGCTTACCCCACTCCCGGCTCGCTGCGGGGCCCCCCAGCCCAGTGGAGCAGCCGGAAAGTGACCCCAACTAACACACACTGCCTGGAGCTGGGCGACTCCCAGCCGGGCCCAGCCGGGACAGGGGGGAGGGGTCGCTCCCCCGGGGTCTAGTCACCTCTCGGGGGTCACCCTGCCACCAGCCCCCCCACGCCCCTACCCCTCCCTTGTCCATGGGGCCCCCATGGAAACATTCCCTGGAGGAGTTGGAAGGGCACTTTCAAACTTTGTCCCTTCCCCCTCCTCTATCTTCTCTCCCCCAGCACGGCCCCCTGGACCTCTGCATTGAGGTTCCCTCCTGAGACCAAACCCCCAGTGTTGCCTGGCCCCCCTGAGAGATGAGAAGGGGCCTCCCGCGTGGCGTCCTCTCCTCAAAGACCCCCATATCTCCCATATATCCTAGCTGGAAATTCATATATATATCTCCCTCAGCCCGGGAGTTTTGCGGTGTCAGAGGCAGAGCTCACTGCCCCCCACACCTGAGGCACACTCTGGGGGTGTAGTCCCCCTTCCAAGGCTCCTTGAAGGCAGTGTGTGTGGTGGGGGGGCAGTTCACAATGGAAGGGCTGTCCCAAAGCCTCTAACCAGGGACCGTCCTGGGGGCCCCTAGGATTAGAGTCCCTGAGTGCTTTGGGGACTTGGGAAAGCGAGGCGCTGAGGGAGAGGTCGAGGAGGGGGTTCATGTGCCTTAGGTTGTGCAGAATGTGCAGTTATTCAAGGAGCCATGGCAGGGACCACCGCCACTTTTCTCGGTAGATACAAGGTCTTTGTTAAAATATATACATCTTTTCCAGTACATCTCAGCAGGTATAGACGAGGCGTACATGGGGCGCCACTGTCTGTAGGTAATCCTGGGGCTGTGATGGACTTTCGGGGTCCAGAGGTCAGCGAAAGGGATCCCAGAGACCCTAGGACCCCTTGTCTGTAGCCAAGGTCCCGCTTGGTAGCGGCCCTGGGCTGAGATTCTGGGATGCTTGCTCCCTGTGCCCCCTCCCACAACAACCCCCCTTTTATTCCCTAAGCAAAGGGGCCCGTCACTCTTAATACCGTGGGAGTGGGGGGTTGTGGGTCAAAATGATGAACGCATCTCGGGTATGGTCTGAGAGCTGTTACAGACACGGTGGCCTGCTAGGGGTGGGGGAGGGGAAGAGGTTCAAGGGTTTAGCTGGGGGGACAGGATCCTAGCGGGGATGGGGGAGGGGTGGGGCTCCTACTGGACCTGGGAGTCTCTGACGCCAGGGCAAATTAATGCACCCCCACACACACCCACACCAAGGGATGGATTAATCCAAATGACTGGAGGAGGAAGGGGGAAGGGAAGCTCAAGACTTGGTGTCAGATGCCTTCTCCTCAGGGCTTATCTCTGTGCACAGGCGGGGAAGGGAAGGCCAGGTTAGTTCACAACGTCAAGGTTCTTATTTTGATGATGCCAAGTACCCGGAAATTTCCTGGCTTGAAAACACAACATTCTGGTGGGTTTGTTTGGTTTATTTTCAAAGACAATTCTCCTGGTTCCCAATAAGATCTGGATGGAGAAATATGCACCCAAATAGCCACCCCCATATCCAAGATGTTGTTCCACCCTGCGCTCCCAGAGACATGTCAACGTGTCACCCCCACCGTCACCCCCGTCTGTGCCGTGTCTTAGAATAAGGACTGGATGAATCCAGTGACCGATGATGAATGATTCTATTCGAACAGCGCATCACAGTTTGCAAAGTGATCTCCACCGGTTTCTAGATCCTTTGCGTCTCCTGCCTGTGATCACTGTCCCCATCACCCCCATTTTATCATGGAGGCCACAGGATTTGGAAGGATGGATGGGGGAGCACGGCGAGGCTCAGCCCCTAGCGACCGGGGGCCTTCATTCGCAGCTCTCACATTCCTTATGCCTGCGCATCCCAGCGACCTGTAAATTCCTTCCCGGAACTGAAG